CATTTTGCCAAAGATCCCTTGCTGCCTAGCTCGTAGCTTACTCATAATAATTGCTATAATAGCTTACAAATTATCAAAGAACGTATTTATCCGTGGCCAGGAGAATACATAGTCAATTTGTTGAAATATACTGAGGTCACGGCGCTGGACGACCGTTGATTTAAAGTGTAACATAACAAATTTGAAATCGGTTTAATCAGGTAGACTTCGCATCTTCAGATCCGAGTCCTATCAAAACCTGAATGAATTAATAATAATTAATTCCCTTATACAATTAAGTAATCAAAGTCATTACAATATGTTATTAAATGTGGTATTTTCACATGCTTTCAGATGGAGCAGCATTTACTTCACAGAGCCGTAGTTCACTGAGAAGCTATGCAAACAGCTGTCATTATCGCGAACGATTTCTTCGATTTCATAATCGCGCAATAAAATCGTCCGCGATTTTTTGGCGTAACTTGTCAGTGAACTACGGCTATGTGTAGTAAATTCTGCTCCATCTGAAAGCACGTGATGATGATTTCCTGCTGATTACAGAACTGGCTTTACTAACAAAATGCGCATGACAATCGCATTCGATTAATCGTGCAGCCCTACACTGCACTCAACCTGAGGGATTCCTACACTTTCAGTCTTTGAGGAGACATGAAAAATAGTGCATACCGCAGGAACAATATAACGGAAAATATTAGCGGTTTTGAAACCATGAAATTTTCAAATCGCGGTATACCTTGAAACCGGTAATCGGCCCATGCCTAATTTCATCTACAAATTAGTTTTGTCTAGCAAAATAAAGTTAACCAGACTGCATTCTAGTGAAAGCCACAGGTTTGACAAGCAAACTTACCACGACTTTGGTTCCCCGAAGTGTAAGTAATTAATGCTGTAGAGATCCATGTCCTCAGTGTGCCAAGCAAAAGTGGTTTTCCACATTCCAAAGTAGAGGTAGGGTGTATTTACTCCCTCTATAGTGATTCCACTCTCATGCTCCACGGTGTCAAGGATGGTATTCAAGTGCCCTATATTCCATTCTTTGACATCCTGTGTAAGACATGAAAAAGGAAACAATGACTTCACATCAGAGAGCACTCAAACCAAAAGTTAAACCAAATAGAACTCATTCAGAAATGCTTACAAGTGTTTACTCACTGTGTCATACAGGGTCCCATTAACATCAGCTCCATAGATAGGAGGGTTAAAGGTTACATTTTTCCAGTATTTCCTTTCAAGCTCTTCAAAATCATCATACCGAGGACTGCAAAACCTTAAACAGGAAGGACAGATGAGGTTATAATCAATTTCCACTGGAAAATGTGTTACAAGGTCAACAAGACTTACTTGTCACTGTTGGCTGTTTTACGGAACTCTTTCACAGTCATGGCTTTTTTCTGGATGTTGTACTGGGTGAACAGCCCTGACTGCCCAGTCACAACCTGCTGAATTGGTGCAGGTATTAGTAGGTCATCAATGTCATCGTACGAACGTCGAGGCTTCCAGTTTTTGGGCGGGACAATCTGTAGTTGAGCAAAATAAATATAATTTTATGCATGTCTTTTTGACAGTAGTAGCTTAGCCTAAAGAGTAAAGAGTAGTGTTTTCATCTAACCTTGGCCAGGCCTGCCTTGTGTGCACCTTGGGACTCCATGTACGCAATGTAGCGGTTGAAGTTCTTGAACTCTTCAATTGTGGGGTAAAAGGTCATTATACCCCTAGAAATCAGCTTTTCAGACGCCATCTTGGCCAACCGAGTCCTCAACACCTGTATGACAAATTGATTGAACTGTAATATCTCAATGTGCATCTAATATAAAACAGACTATATCAGCAAATAACGAAACATGAAAAATTAAAGTTTCATGAATATAAAAAAAGCATGTTTCAAAATTTATTTGACATTAAAATCAAGCTTTTAGATGCCACTGGGGACATCCTAGTGCGAGGAACACCCATCCTAAAATTCAAAAAGCATCTATAGTTTCTTTGGTAAAAATACCAAATTTTTACTGTGACAAGTAAACTTTACAAATATATAAATATGCCTACAATATTTAGTATATAGAATTTTTTTCTACTCAAAGTATTGTACTGCTTGTATTTTTATTTACATTTATTTATTTTTAATCTTTCACATTTATTTTTAAATCTAATTATGATTTTTATTCACTTTAATTTAATTATTTATTCATTTAAATTTTTCCTTTTTTTTACACAATTTTTCTCGTAACTTTTCCAAAGACCCCCTAACACCTTAGGGGGCCAAGTAACTCAGTTTGAAAACCCTTGCTATATAATATATGGGATGACTTAAGGCCAACATTATATGAATACCCAGCCGACAAAGTCACTGTGACTTAATTTAAACCACAGACATCACATTATTTACATGCTGGGTTGCTAGGTTTCATTAACTTCCCCTGGTTCTGGTAAACCACAGATGTTTTAGCCTTACTTCAAAGAACTGAAAAAACATCAAACCACATGTGACAATCTACAGCCGTGTAGCATTCCTGTGAACAGGTTGGCAAATAAGCCTTATATGGCTATGACAGTGAGACAAAACTTCATATTCTTCCAGTGCAGCAGGTATAGTGTGTACACAATGCACGCCCCGCCTCGTATTCAGAAGCTCTGATGCTGATTGGCCAACACCTGCGTCTCTTTAAAAGTCGTGTGGCTAGGCTAACGAGTTAGGCCAAACGTAAACATTATCATGTACAAAAACATCAGATAAGTTAAAAGTTCCAAACAATACAAAGTGCACGATAGGGTATGCAACATGTTATAAGTACAAAGGATAAATATAATATAAAACGTGCGTAAATGAGGAAACTAGCTGTTGGTTGCAGTAGTGAAAGTGCAACGGTTAGCTCTTCGAAGCTAGCAACTTTACCACTATTAACAATGATTTTAAACCGTACATTTAATATGTAAAATAATAAATATAAATAAATATAAAAAATAATAAGGAAGTAATATATAAATACTTACTGACTCTGTCGAACAAAACCCGAATAACTGCCCTCAACCGTAGTAGATATGTTTAGCTAACAGCACAGCAGATGCTTCTCCTGACTAACCCCCATCAGCACTCTCGCACCACGCATGCGCGCACAGGATTTGTTTACTATTATTGGTCCACCCACGCCAGAGTCACCATAACCAATCAAATTACCGTCACGTTTACAGTAGCCTGCCTGCTGTATGCCATATAGAGTTTATTATCTTGTGTTGTTCAGTTAATAACAGGGATACGATGATTGTGAACTTTCATTTTGTCTTGAGTTTTAGTTTAAATGTTGCCTTGTTAAGGTTTGACTCATTACTAATATAATTGCGTTTTATGGCAATATCATTATCAAGTTCATTATAATCCCCGAAAAACTTAAATAAAGCGGACTTAAATTAAAAAACCCTAACGAGCATATTAATTTTGGGGCTGCAGAGAGGAGAATAACATGGAGAATTATGAGCGAGTAGCCTAAGTGAATATAAGGAATACGGATCCCCAGTGATTTACACAGTATGGAAAAAAATACTGTTAATTACTATTAATTCAATCGGGACCAGAATTTTTTTGGTTACTTATATTCTTCAAAATATCTTCTTTTGTGTTCAGCACAAGAAAGAAATTCACACATGTCTGGAGCAACGTGAGGGTGAGTCAATAATGACAGTATTTTCATTTTTGGGTAAACTATCCCTTTAAATGGTCTACAGCAGGTTTCCTAAAATCTGGAAGAGCAAAACCCTGGAGAGCAACTGCCCTGAAGAGTTTAGCTCCAACCAATCATATTTCATGAGCAATTCATAAAACAATCCATCCATTCTCCAAACTGCTTATCCTCTGTAAGGTGAAGGGGATGTTGAAGCCGATCACATGAGCAATCCAGTTTATCTTTATAAATGGACAGGCCCATGTAGTGCAGGTTCTCTTTTGGTGCATTACAGAAATGTATTACATGTGTTGCCAGATTTATATTTATTTTATGTTTTTCCAGTAAATAAAATAAAATAAATCTGAATGCATTTAATTACTTTTACTTTTAATAAGGCTACTCTTTTTTTTTTAACGGATGATTGTAATGGTTTTATGTAAAAAGGCATTATCGTTTTCTATTATATATGTGCATAGGTTGTTGTATGTATTGTTGGGAAGAACAGCTACTTTTTTATTTAGCATTTTTTAATGTTAGATTATTTTAATATAACTTCATTCAAATAATTTCAAATAATTTAATATTGAGGTTCCCTGGTTCAGAACCACAGGTCTGGAGTCAGAGAACAGGATGTGTGGATCACTGCAGCCATCTACTGGTCATTTCAATTAAGTCTTTAAATATCCTAGAATAATCCATCAAATGTGTTATTTTATAACTTATTATACTTTAGTTTATGTATGTTTGTTGTTTTATAATTGATGTTATCACCCCTCTACTTTAGTTAATGTTATTATAACTTATTCTATTATCATTCTGTAGTGTTGTTATTTTATAATGTATTCTATCACCCCTCTACTTTAGTTAATGTAGTGTTATTTTATAACTTATTCTATCACACCTTTAGTTATGTTATTTTTTTAAACTTATTCTATCATACCTCTGCTAGTTAGTGTTATTTATAACTTTAGTGTTATATTATTCTATCATCTCTTTACTTTAGTTAATGTGCTTTTTTATAACTATTTCCATCACCCCTCTACTTTAGTTAGTGTTATTAACTTATTATTATTCTATAATTTCTTTACTTCAGTTAAAGTTTTATAAGTTATTAGGCCTACATCACCCATCATCTACTTTGTGCTATTTTATATCTTATTCTATCACAACTCCCCTTTAGTTAGTTTCATTTCTAGTTTATTCTCATTCTTAGAAACGTGATCTGAGAAACGTGCATGTCCGACTTTGCGTGGTCCTCCGGGGCAGGGGTGTCCAAACCTGGTCCTGGAGGGCCACTGTCCTGCAGAGTTTAGCTCCAACCCCAATTAAACACACCTGAACCAGCTAATCAAGGTTTTCAGACTCACTATAGAAACTCTGTTTCTGGAGGTTTTCACCAGTGCTCTACACCAGGAGTGTCAAACTCGATTCCTAGAGGGCCAGAGCTAGTGTTGCCAACTGCTTTCAGTTGAAAGTAGCTAAAACTGGTAGCTAAATGTCACTAGATAACATCACAATGGCAAATTCACTGATCTATATAAAGATGAACGTTGATCAGTGGGCAAGATGAGAACTTTTGATGAGAAGGTTTGTCCAAGAAGTTGCTATATTTGTCCCTAAACTTTTGAAAAAAGTCTCAAAAGGGGCGGGGAAGTCGCTAAATCTAGCTACAAAGTAGCTAAATTGGCAACACTGGCCAGACCATGCAGAGTTTAGATTCAACCCTAATTAAACACACCTGATACAACTAATCAAGTCCTTCAGGCTTATTTGAAAACTGCATGGTATGTGTGTTGGAGCAGGCTTGGAACAAAACTCTGCAGGGCTCCGGCCCTCCAGGATTTTAGTTTGACTTCTTGTGGTCCTCTGTTTGATCACGAGTGCTCTTACACACAATGCAAGGTGCATGAAACTATATTTCTAGAGTTACTGTCTTGATTTAAACACTTGATTAAAAAAAACTGAAGGTTCTTATTAACCCTATTAACCCTGCTCCTGGTGCACTGTCCTGCAAAGTTTAATTCCAACCTTCTTCAGCACTCCTGGCCTGTGAAGTGATCCTGAAGAGCTCTGTAACGCTGGGTGCATTTGGTTTGTTTAGATATCTTTATATACGTGCTTTAATAGGATACACAGGGGATTGTGTTTGTAGGTTACTGTTCCTTTAAGAGTGTGAACCCCTATTTATAATGTCAGTATGCAAATATGTTTTTTTTTTTTAATTGACTTTCAAAAGTACAATATTCAGCAAGTTCTCGAGATATTTCACTTTTTTTCCATTTTGCAAGCACAAATAGAAAAACAGCACTAACAATAAATTGAAATAACAAAGGAAATTAAAATTAAAGGGCATCACAAACACAAGTTAAATTCATTTAAGAGAGATACCGTTTTTAAGGCTTCTTGATTTTTATTTTATTTTTTTTACAAACTTTCCAGATTCTAAATAAACTTTAAAGGCTGTTACTTCATTTTGTCTGATGAACATGAAATTTTCCTAACAACAAAATCAAATCAATAATATATATTTTTGTTTTGGAAAAGTCATATTCATTTGAATGAAGTAAAACTGATGATATTTAGGACTAGTTTGCAATTCAGTTTAACACTTAGAAATTGTGACCAAAATAAATATGAACAGGGACACAACAGACTCTCTTTCACAATTACAAAAAGAACATTTGTAATCTATACCCAGATGTAAACGCTCTAATGTGTCTTTTGCAGGATATATTCTGTGAACAATTTTAAATGATTTTTCTTTAGTTTTATTTGTTATACAATAACGACTAAGAACTTTCCAAAAATGTTACCACACAAATGAGGGAAATATATTTACCCAAACAAATGTTGATGGAGGAGAGGAGATATTAACAAAGAGAGATCTGATTGATTGGTTCCTACACTTATCATTATTTAAATCAAATTGATTGAAAAACAAATGTTTGGAGACCTTGCTTCTAGTGTTACACCAAGTACCCTGATTTCTGAACATAGAAAGTATTTTGCCAGAAATAGAGTTCATGACAATACAATATTCTTTAACCAGAATATGGCACTTAAATTTAAGACATAGTTCATTAATATTCAAAAGCTGACCATTAGAATTCAACAGCTGACTAACTAATAATATATCAGAATCAGATCAATGTCTAAAAAATAAAATAATAAAATATATATATATATATATTTTTTTTTGTATGTTTAAAAATGAAAAAAAAAAAGATAATTTAAGAAGTATTTTGTTAACATCAAAATTGCATTTAAGAAAAAAAATTGATGCCACCAAGTTGATAAAAAAAAAGGTTAAGATAAAATATTCTACATAGAACTACTATTTTTAATAAATAGTTTTAACCAATTTATTTTAAAAGTGCTATTTAAAGTTGTGAAATCCACAACATTCAAATCACCCTGATGATATGGATATGCAAATATGGTTGAGTAGCCATTCTGGCTGTAAAAATTATGGTCCCGCCTCCCATAGCCTACTGAAAAGTGGATTCTGAGATTCTGATAGGTTGGTTAATTGTTGTCAGGGGCGCTGCTATGGATTCTGAACATACTGACTCGGGCCCCCGCATTCCTTGGGGTCCCCCTCGGTAGAAATTGCATACCGCCCTCCCTCGTCGGGCCCTTGGAATCATCCAGAAACTGCTAAATGTTATTCAGCAATGAAACACAAATACAACCATTTAAAAAGATTAAGGGCTTTTATTATAAAACTACCACATATACTTTAATATTAATGTGTATTAACAATGAACAAATACATTACAATACAAACATTAACAACACACTTTTAAACCATAAAATAATAAGTATATTTACTGTATTATTATAAAAAATAAAAATAAAAAAAAACATGATGCAGAAAACAGTGATGTCAACATCCAGGCCAGTTCAAATCTTATCCAATGGTGTCAGTGCAGTCAAGTCAATAAGATTGCAAAATATTAAGTTTCCCCAACCAAGCAAGCCAGAGGTGTCAGTGGCAAGGAACGCAAACAACATCAAAACCAGGATCAGTCAGGAAACCAGTTCTTCTCTGGCCAAATGAACAAACATGGTGTGATTATCATACCAAGCCGCATCACAAATCAGATTGTGTATTGACCTCACTCGGAATATTTCATTCAACTCCTTCTGCCTGAAGAAACATCATGTCAGCAGGTGATGCTGGCCATAAGGGTCTATGCAGAGGACATGTCTGTTTCTTGTGGTCTTCGCAGAGGATCTGTGCTGTTGGCTGTCGTGAGAATGAGGTCTTTTGCAGGGGATCCATCTCTAGGGCTCATCTAGTTGTCATGGTCTCCTCTGACATTCAGGGATGCGTTGTGGTCGTTCCTGGGTCCACCATCTGATCTGGACACGGACTGGATCTAGCTGACTATGGTAACCTCAGGATAAGAGTGAGACAGTATATAAGTAACTAATA